TAAAAGACCTGCGTCTTCACAGACGTACTCGGAAGAGACGGTTCCTCGTCTCTAGCCCCGTTTTCCATCCTCCCTGTAAAGCTTGCTCACAGGGAAAATCCTGACTCAGGGTTTGAGAAGACGTTTCTTGTTCCTTAATTCCTTCAACCATTTATTTATTGTCTTAAAAGAACCATGAAGAAAGCTGAGACTCAAATAGATTCCATTCTTTGCTACAGAAACAGTATTTGGGTTCGCAGAACCAAGCTAGTAAGACTTTGCAGCTTTCCGTGGCTGGAATTGGTGGGTTTCTGTTTTGTTAATGACCTGGAACTTTTTATCTTTGTGATACCACTTTGGGTTGATTTAATTGTTACAAGATAAAGTTAATTGCAAGATTCTTTTTTTTTTTTGAGACAATCTTTTATCGCTAAATCATTTCATTAGGACTTGCAAGAGATCAAGGAACTTTCAAAGGCGGGCACAGAGGTCTGTGTGGAGGAGTCTAAGGCCAGCAAGAGGCTGACGCGGAGAGTGCAGCAGATGATCGGGCAGATAGACGGCCTGCTGGCACAGCTGGAGGCGGACCAGACGGCTGGCAAACTGGGCACGGCCGCCGCCAGCCCGCCTGCAGGGTGAGTGTGCCTCAGGTGCCGGCCCAGGGGAGCCCAGGGCCTTTCTGGCCTTGGAGTGTTTCTCTGCCGTGGTGCCAGCCCCTGACCTTTGACCCAGTGGTTCCAGCCAGAAGCCCAGCCACATCTTTTCAGTGTCCACTTCTCAGTGATCGTTTTACTGAAGGAACTCTCAGGGTGGCCTCTTCTGCACACACACACGTGTATGCACACACACGCACACCTTGGCCACTGTCAGGACCACAGCCGTGGCTTGGCTCCTCTCCCCCTGGCCACCATAGTGCACACCTCTCTCTCTCCAGGCTTCTATCAAGCTGCTCCTTCCAGAATGTACATAGGGTTACAGCTCCCCTGGGAACCCCCTGCCTCTCCTCCCCCTCCAGCCACAGCTACGCTTAGTTCCTGTTCTCCCAGATTCCCGGTGCTCTCCTGCCTCCTCCCTCTTTCCGAGCCCTCCACACACAGGCGCTCGGCGATGGCCCCCACTCTGGAGGTCACTGTGTGCCAAGGAAACGACTCTGCCAGGTGGTAGCGGCTGACACTCGATGCTCCCGTGGGCTGGGCACTGTGCTCTGAGCGCCCACGTCTCTGAGGGGCGGGTGGGCTGGCTGCAGAGGTCCTGCTGTCCTCAGGTTGGGGGGCCTTCACCTCCAGGACAAGGTCAGTGTCCCTTCCCGGGGTGACCTACTGTGCAGGGTGGGCAGGCCTGAGGGACCCGGTCCTAGTAACCATGGGACTCCCTGTCCCCATCACCAGTGGAGAGGCGGGGCTCACCGGGGGACTGCACACACAGGGAGACCTTGGACTGACTGATGGTCTCTGGTTTTGCGTCCGAGTTGGCCGGGCGTTCCCAAATGCAGGGGCGAGGGGCCCTGGAGGGAGGGAGAAGTTGCCCGGGTCGAGCTGACCCGTGGGAGGCCTGGTGAGGCTGTGGTACGTCTGTGCCACATGCAGGCTGTGTCCCCCCAGGGAGACTGTCATCAGCGTCACCGAGCTCATCAGTGCCATGAAGCAGATCAAGCACATTCCGGAAAACAAGCTCATCAGCTTGGTCTCGGCACTGGATGAAAATAAGGATGGCAAGGTCAACATCGATGACCTGGTCAAGGTGAGTCGGCAGGGCCGGGTCGGGGCCACCAGGCCCAGCCGAGGGCTTGCTCGGGGGGCGCGTGTGGCACGTGCGGCCCCGTGTCTGCCCTCACACAGAGCGAGGAGTGGTGCGGTTGGAATGCCTGTCCAGAGCAGCCCGCCCGCTTTTTGACAGGACACTTGGCTCCCCCTGCCTCCCGCGGGGCCGCGGCGCAGTCTGGGAAGCGTGTTAGCAGGGTGCCTGGGGCACACCGACCTTGGCGGGCCGCTGCGGGTCGGCTTCGGTCCTGGTGGCGAGCTGGTGGGCGCGGGGACCCGGGGAGCTGGGCAGCCCGGGAGACCCAGAATGGGATCCCCCTTTGTAAGGAGGCCTGTGGCCTTGCATTTCCGAGGAGAGAGCCCCTTCACGGGTGTCGGAACGGTTCCTGGTGTTTCCAGCTAGTGATTTTTTTACACGTTTCCCAAGCGTATCCGCTGACTTGCCGTGTAGTTCAGCCGCAAGGCCAGACGGTACCAAATGCACGTGCTGGGTCATTGCTTTGCCGGCAGCAGAGGCTGGGAGGCCCGAGCCCCCGTCACCCGCCCCTTCCCTGGGGCCCCTTTCGTTGGTGTGGACGGCAGCTCACGTGTTGTCGCGCTGACTCTGTCCGGGGTAGGCCCCCCGGCCTCGTGTCCACCTGGCCTGCCTTCCGCTGCTCCTTCCTGCACGCCAGGCCCGTAGGAGGCGCACCCAGCACCCTCGAGAGCCACACGCCCCCTGCTGCCGGAGCCCCTCTCCCTCGTGGCTTGTAGCTTGGCCTGGGGCTTGGGGGCCTGTTGGCCTCCTGGGGGTGGGTGGTGTCTAGTCCTCAGAACCAGGGCGGCTGAAGGACCCCGGGGGCTCCCCTGCTGGGACGCCACTGATGGCCATTCAGCCTGGTAGCCAAGGACGCAGCTTGGAGGGGGAGCCGCGCCGTGTTCCCGGTGGGTCCCTGGCGTGCTCCTTGGGGAAAGCGCCGCGCAGGGACAAGGCCACCCCTGAGTCCCCTGGTCCTTTCCCGTGTGCGTAGGTCATCGAGCTGGTGGACAAAGAAGACATTCACATCTCCACCGGCCAGGTGGCCGAGATTGTAGCCATGCTGGAGAAGGAGGAGAAGGTGGAGGAGAAGGAGAAGGCCAAGGAGAAGGCCGAGAAGGAGGCCGCAGAAGTGAAGAACTAGGAGTCGCCTGCTTGTGTGCGCCTCGGGCCCTTCCCGTGTCTGCCTCCACCCCGCCGCGCCGGCTGCCACGGTCCTGCTGTGGTAGTGATGGCTCTGAGGTGATTCTTAGTGACACATCTAGTATTTTGTCTGGAATAAATCAGAAACTTCCATAATCAAGTAATTTTTAATTTTCATCATTCCACGAAGATTCATTCAGTCTGGAATCCCCGAACCCTCGCAGGGAATCACATCCGGATTCACACGGTGGCACGGTGCTGCAGTGGCCCCAGCCGTGGTGGCCGTATGCGGGCCTCGTGGCTCCAGAGGTGGGCCCGGCCGGACTGGGGCAGGGAGGCGCCTCGCCGAGTGCCGCAAGCTGGCGGCACCTGTCCCGGGAGGAGAAAGGACCGGCCGCGTGGACCCCCGTGCCCGTGGAGCCTGCGGCGTGCAGATGGGAAGGAGGCATGCGCGGCCCTCCCCAGCTCTGGACAAGTGTCCTGCCCGTCAGCGTCAAAAGCACCGATTCGTGCCCATTTCCAAGGTCGTCTCTGTAGCGACGGGGATCGCGTGGCCTCTGGAAAACCACAGTTGTCTGGCAGGAATGTCGTGCCTTGTGCGAGCCCCCTGTCGTGGTGTGTCAGCTCTTCCTTGCTCTAACCTTTGGTTTTCACCTAGTCCCTCACCGGTTGACTAGTAGAATTTTTACACACGACGGTCCGCCTGCCACGTGCGTAACAGCTAACGTGAATCATGCCGTGAGAGATGCTAATGAAGCCCTTGAAAATGAAGCATTTCCATTTGAGTAATTTACCACCCTCTTGTAGCTTTCAGAAAGTTTCCCAGTTTGGGTCCTTAGCACCTCATCGCCCCCGTGGGTGATCAGAGCAGGTCCCCCCGCGTGTCCAGGCCGACGCTCTGCGTGCGCCTCGCCCACCGTAGCTCTGCAGCCCCGCGGTGTCCTCGTTGCTCCCGGCGCTGCTAACTCGGTCCCCTGGCCCCCCGCCCCCACCCAGGACAAGTAGGCCGCTGGCCGTGCTCCTGGTCCTGTGGGTGGCGCGTCCTGAGGGGGCTTCGGAAAGGCAGAATCCTGCCGCGGGTCCGCGTAGGGCCGGCCTGGTGCGCCCCTGGGGGAAGCGGGGCGGCCTCCCTGGGCTTGGCGCCCCGCCCTGGCCTCTGGCCGTCTCGGCACTTGGCAGCTGAGGTCGGTGGTGCTCAGTGGGCGGCCTGTGGTCTCAGCTCTGTGTCACTGGTCCTTCAGAGGCTGGGTCCGTTATGGGCCAGAACGCTCTCTCAGGGGAGGCAGGAGGAAGGAGCTGGAAGACATAGGAACTGAGTGGCCAGAGTAGCCAGCAGAGGCGGAGCACCCAGAAACGATGGATCTGAATTACTTGAAACTTTTCGTTCAGCCGTTAAAGAGGAAACTTGACAAAATAGGAATACGATCATGTATCGTCAAACGTAAACCTTTGTAAAGTAGCAGCTGGGTTCTAAAGGGTTTTTCCTTCAGTTGTTTGAGAAGGAAATCTATATATTCTAGATGCTTAATTAATTTATCTATGAATGACCTCACACGCATCTCAGTAGCCTGGTTTTCAGCTGCAGGGAGCGCGCGTGTGTGCCAGCTTTGGGTGGCCCACGTGCCCCGTGGATGGCGCTTGTCTTTCCAGCAGGCACTGCTTTGGGGCCCTTGAGCAAGCCGCGCCCACCCCATCTTCAGCCTCGGCGCTCCGGACGTCCTCACGGATGCTGTCCCGGCGGCGGCCAGGCGCTCCTGCCGTGCCCGCTGCCCTGGAACCCCCCTCCTGGGTTTTCTGTGCTGTCCGGGAGCAGCGCTCACCCCCAGAATCTACGGGGGGGCTTCCCGAACACACGTGGGCCTGACCTGCTGGTGGCGGCCTTCCGTGTTGGCGAAGTCGGCTGCTGGCTCCCTCTCTGTCACGTGTGGGCTTTTACTGCCCCGAACCTCACTTACTGCAGCCGAAATCAGTGTCTGGGTGCAGGCCCAGTACGTCGGGTCTAGAGAGCGGAGGCTTGTGCGCTAAGGTGTTCAGAGGCGGCTGTGTCCTGACCGCCTGCGGCCGAGTCTTC